AGAGACAAAGTCAAGTGTCATAACTATAACAGCTACGCAGGCCTTATCTGTTTTCTACGAGAAGTACTAGTCCAGCTGACGGCTCTATAAGTTAAAAATCTCGCAACATACCCCGGGAGGGCCAAAACTCAAAAAGCCATAAAGACGAGTGTCATAACTATAAAAGTTACGCGAACCTCTTTTGCTTCATACGAGAAGCATGAGTCCGACCGACTGCTTTATAAGTTAAAAATCTCGCAACATGCCCCGGAAGGGTCAAAGCTCAAGAAGCCACTAAAGTCGAGTGTCACAACTATAGAAGCTACGCAGACCTTATCTGCTTCCTACGAGAAGCATGAGTACGGTCGACGACTCTATAAGTTAAAAATCTCGCAACATGCCTCGGGAAGGGCAAGGCTCAAGAAGCCACTCAAAAGCCAGAATACAACCAAAATAGCCACGTGAACTCATCTGCTTTCTACGTGAAGTATACGTTCGATCGCTAGCCCTATAGGTTAAAATTTCTCAACACGTCCTGGGAGGGCTAAAGCTCATGAAGCTACCCAAAGCCGAGATTCACAGCTATAGTAGCTACGTGAACTCGCCTGCCTCATACGGAGATGAGTTCAGCCGCCGGCTTTATAAGTTATAAGTCTTGCGTTTTTCCTCTTACAGGTAAAGCTCTATGAGCATCAAAGCCAAAACTGAAGCCTAAAGTGACCACGTGAGTCAACTACTCCATCGAAGTAGCCAACTCAACTACCCATCCTACGATAAAGTTTTACAAGTCGCCTCAAGCAGGCAAGGCTCTCGAAGCCCCGAAGACAAAGCTAAAACCTAAGTGACGAGGTGGGATCAGCTGCTTCATTGAGGCAGCTCATCCAGCTGAATGCCCTACGATAAAGTTTTGCAAAAAATATGGCGAAACAGAAGGATTAAGCAAAACAAGGAAAGTTGTTTATTAAATTTCTAGCAAATTGATATACCGGCTCGAAGGCCAACAAAGTTCAAGCAAAGTATAACATAAAGGAAAAGAAGAAAACTCCTAAGTCTAAGCAAAAAGGCTACTTCTTGGCAGCCTGCGCAACCACTGGTTCCTCGACTGTCACGTCTTCAACAGTCGCACCACTCCTAGCAGCCAAAGTTTCCATCAGCTCATCCTCAGCCACCCCTGCCTGGACTGCCTAACCCTCAACTGCTCCACCAAAAACAGCCTCATCCAGTTCCTTTTTCAGGTTCTCGCTAGCAGACAGAGCACTTTGCAGATCCACTTCCTTGGACTCAAGCTTACTGGCAACCTCCTTGAGACGAGACACTTCAGCATGTATGAAGATAAGCTCATCGTCCTTGGCAAAACACCCAGATCGTAGCTCGGAATTGATACGCTAAAGGTCCTCGACCACCGGAGAAACACAACTGACTTCCTTCTTTGCAGCTTCTAACATCGCCTAAGTCGCACTAAGCCTAACATTCAAAGGGGCGACCTCTTGATGAGCGATCTCCAGCTACAAAGAAGTAGGGGCAGAGACATCAGACCCCTTCAAAACGGCGAGTTCAGATTCGAGCTTCTCGATCTTTTCAGCAGCCAAGCGAAGTTGAGCCACCAATGCCACTTCAGCCTCCTTAGCACACTTGACAGCATCCTGATGAACGTGCATAGGTTCAGTTGCCAGGATCAAAATCTTATGCATTGTAGCAATCAGGGATGACCTCCTTAAATAAGCAGGACGCTTCGTAAAGGAGTATGAGCGGATAACAACTTTCCCAACTCTGTCAACAAACTTGGCGCATGCATCGACGTCCTCAAGCAGGTTAGCCTTCAGCAACACATAAACCTCGGGAAACTCTCCAGCCTCAAACTTGGTGGATCTCTCACAACTGCCCGTGCGAGCAGATTTCCCATTCTTAGCAGACGAGTCAGTCACGGCAGAATGAGGAACATGCCCAGGCGCCACCTTAGTAGCAGAATCCATTTTCCCGCTTTTCATAGCGGCAAGCCTCTCAGAAACCAATCCAGACTTAGGTCCTGACAGATGCTTCGACACAAACCCGGACACCAAATGCGTCACTGAACCCTTCCGCTAGGCAAGTCTTTTAACAATGGATACGGTCACCTTCGGAGCAGCAGGTTTCACAGGCTCAGGCTCAATAGTCTTCTTCACCCCCTTAGGGGAAGTTAAATCAATGATAAGCTTCTCGGCAACAGACGAGCTCCCACGAGTAGCAGAAGAAGTCATTGGCTTCTTCTTAGCCGAAGGATCACAAGCAGGTGGGGAAGACCTCTTCTTTCCACCATCATTGGCAGCAGGCTCTACAGTAGCGATTGGGCGAGCCAACTCCTCATCCTTTATCCACTTTATCTCTTCCTTCGAAGGTAAGCCACATTTCTCCTGACGAAGAGGGTTAAACAGCCAGCGCCACTTACGGTACTCAACAGGAATGCCCAAGACGACATGCACTTTCTTCATATCTGTCAAAGTCCTTGGTGTTGAGCCAAACTCTGAATCTACGTAAAGTAAGAATGACGATCAATAAATTGAAGTCATGAAGCAGCTTAACAAAAAATTCAAGCAGGACAAGAATGAAGTAGTTCACTTACCACTGATAAAAGTAGTCGGGACATGCAGCTCAGGAGAACAGTTAGACTCCCACTCTCCACTGACCTCCAAGGTGTCTCTTGCCCATTCATGGTCACCTTTACTAGAAGCATCGAGCATCCTATAGCGAGACCTCAGCTGCCCCACACCTTCCTTGTGGCCGATCTCAAAAAAGTACCAAAACTCATTTATGGTCAAGCCAAGATCAAAGAACCTACTCAAGTTTGAGAATATCACCATCGCACAAACTGCATTTGGAAAGCACTGAGCAGGCGCGCATTTCATGAAGCAGATCACCTCCTGGAAAAGACGCAGCATGGGAAAAGTAAACCCCAACACGAAGTAGTACGAATGGAATGTGATAGCTCTCTTCCTAGTAGAGGCACCATCGCCACATGGTTCATGGCCGCTATCATCTTTCACCCGCTTGACGCGAACCCCATATGAAATCGCATGCTTGTACGCCTCAAGAAAATCCTGAAACAGCTCATCGAAATTAATCTTGACATGCTCAGCTTTGAAATAGCCCACCTTGTCGGAAGAGCCACCTTGACGATACAAGGGTAGAGGATATTCGTCACTCTTGCGATCAGAGGAAGACATCTCAAAGTCTCTGCAGAAAGTACAAGGAAAAATATTTAGAAGGCAGATCGCAAGAAGAGAATAAAACAAATAAAATAAAATAAAAAGAAGAAGGATCGCAAGCCCAGCCAAATCATAATTGTGTTGTGTTTAGGTTTGCTGGATAATGTTATGAGTGACTACTTATAGGCCAAGGCTGTTCTTCTAACAACCACCACAATAGCAACAACCGATCTGACGATCTAGGTTCCTCTTGTGGAGCCTAAAATAATCCCAAAAATTCTAGAGGCGACAAGTGAACTTTTATTCAAGAAAGACAAGATTGTCCTCAATAAATTGACAGGTTTCTTTGATGTTCCCACGTGTAGCTCACACCCTTGGAGGTCTCGACAACTGAATACGACTGCCCACAGCTCACCTGCCCTTGTCAAGGAATTAAAGATAAAGATTAATTACCCAAATCCTATCTTTAATACATTCCCAATTGAAGATTGACTCCAATCAAGTAAGTAATCCTAATTTAAATAAATTAAGGATTAATTACCCAAATCATATCTTTAATACATTCCCAATTGAAGATTGACTTCAATCAAGTAAGTAATCCTAATTTAAATAAATTAAGGATAATCACACCATTATTTCAAGATATTATTTCCTATTTAATATATTGGGAATATTTAGAGAATATCTCTTCATTAAACACTATGGCCGACCCTATCTCTATAAATACTCCATATTCTACCAAATTTTCAGAGCTTTTGCAACCTTAAAAAAAGCCCCAAACACTTTACTCTCTCAGATAAACTAACTTAGGTATCAGAGATCCGTTGACCTAACCCCCCCAACCTCGTGGGCGCGTGAGGCTTAGGTCTGTGATCAAATGTGTTGATTGTTTTGTAGGTGCATTTTCGTCAAAATTGAAGACGGCGGAAATTTGCATCGACACCCCTCATTTTGCTGATTATCCTGGAGCAGGGGCTGTCATGATCGGATTCGCTGGCATAAACATTCCTTCTGATGCTTTTAACAGACCAAAAGAAGCTATACTTGTGTTAGACCAGTGAAGCTCGCAATGCATCAGCCACGGGAAGGCCGGTTTCAGCTGCCCCTTCATAGCATACTTTGCATTTTACACGTAGAAATGTGTGATATTTGTACTGTTTTCAGAATTTTTGTAAATGTATCTATGATGGCGATATTCTAAGCTACAGTAACTTACGCAAATGGAAATCACACTTCGTGATTACCGTAGTTCCTTTAATTTCTTTCACTTGGATCAATTGACGATTAATGCGATTACAAATCAAGCTCATTTTGTAAGATTCAAGCGATCACTCCAATCTAAATGCACATAACGGTTAACCATGGCCATTCAATCAATTCCAAATTACTCCAAATCCAAATGAGTCCCTTTTGAGGACAAGTATATGTCTACATGTAATCATTAAGATTTCGAAACAACAAAGCCACGAATGAACGCTACAAGATCAATAATTATTCAATAAAAAAATACTGAAAACCGTCGAGGAGTCTACGGATCAATCGTGGAGCTTGACGAGCAGCACCACTTTTCAACGTTGCTTCCAGATTCTGTATTACGGGCACTGCAAAACAAAGGCAGCAAAAATTCACATTATTGAGTATTTAACCACATGGTTCTCCCATTAACCACAATCCTTCTATCAATTTATAGTCATTATCTGAAATCAAATGGCACTAATCACTAATCAAATACAAATTAAGGGGTATTAAAAACAAAGGAAATAAATAGAGACGAAGAATTATAAATTAGCTTTCAGAATCAAATAGGGCTGAGTAGCATCTAAAGGATAAATAACTTACTAATAGGAGCTCCCATTGGACTGCCCATAACTTCATTAGGAAGCTGCAAAATATAGTCCGGAATGGTTGCACCCACCAAAAATTGAGCGACCTCATTGCTAAAGTTGTTGCAATTGTGAGTAAGCAAACGATAGGTTTCCACAGTATACCGGGGACTGATCCCCTGCAAATATATCTCAAAGACATCCTTGGGCACATGTGTGACACCCAAATCTACCACCTTTATTGGTGTCCCATATGCCGTTGACCCAGCAGGAGCATGTTTTATGCCTCCCCCAAAATAGTACTCATTACCATAAACCACCAATCCCGTGTGCCTGCGATTGAAAATTCACATGGAAGGTTTAATTACCTTTACACATGCCCTGCCAAGAAGAAAATACGAAATAACAATATTTCTTCATATCGGAGTTCTCATCGTATTCCAATGAACAAAAAACACTTACCATATGCCCTCGATGGCTTTCCCCAAGACAGCCATGGACATTTGCCTAGCTAATCCTTGGCTCAGGTCATATACATTTAGAATAACCTTGTGACTCTCCTGCAACCAAATTAATACATCAATTAAAGAACTGCATTGCAAAGCAAGAAAAGAAGTCAAAATACAACAAATATAACAGTACACACCTCTGCCATCTCTGCGGTCCAATATCAAAAGGTTCAGTAGACAAAAATGCGGGGTATTGAGCTAATGAGGATCGCGTATTCCAATTACACTGATAAAGATAACAATTAAAAAAGCATGGTAAGGGCCAAAATTCAGGGAGAAAAATAACAGATTCAGTTATAAGCAGCTAAAGCCGGACACTATGATTGCCAGAATCGACATATAAATGCCCAAATTCTAAATTTTGCAAATTTCTAATACAAGTTAGAAAAATAGTACTGGTTGCTCCTGTGCTTCAACCACCATCACCAAAAAACGTAAAAATGCACAAAAATCACCATATTGTAACGCAAAACAATTTTATTCGTTTAACATCATCAACATATTTCCCAATTGCAAAACAAAACCAGTAATTGGGGCTACTTTGCTCAAATCTACACTAATTATCATACAAATCACTAAATCAATGAGCAAAATCCTGAATTACCCTCCAAAAACACCTTTTAAATATTCAAATATAGCAATTACATACAGCAATCTACCTTAAGCATTGGATCCCACTGATCAAACCAAAAACCCTAAAAATTCCGCAAAAAATTCCAAAATTTATAAGTTTAAATTTTTCTACAAACTCTCAACAAAATCGAAAAATTTTTACGTAAAGCAAATTCGATTAAACAACTGAAAGGCTGATGGATGAATATTAGTGATTCAATTGGCGTTTTGTAACGAGAGAGAACGTACCTGAGCGCGAAGAAGCCACGAAGAGAAGTTCTCACTTTTCTGCGATTTGCGTGAGCAGGTTCGGATCCGTCTGATAGCACCAAAGCTCAACAGCCCTTTTCTCAACCTGCAAGTTATGGAAGAAGAGAGGGAAGGAGGGAGAGAGAGAGAGAGAGAGAGAAATGTTTCCACCATCAAATGACCGTTCTTCCCACAATCCAGCCAATTGGTTACGTATAAGTTTCCACTATCACAACTGGCCATATAACTAAACAACTTGATTAACTACTAATTAAAGTACTTTAAGCTTCTAATTGAGATCAAGGTAATCACAATCATAACACCGTCGCTTTAAACCCTTTTCCAACTAACTGGGATGACAATTTGGATTCCCTGGTCCCACTTCTATGACGTTTTAGAACTTACTAACCAGTTATGTTGGGACACGTGGATTGTCATTCAAAGCCCACACGCTCTCTGGAAAATAAAATATTATTTCACTTTTCTTATTTTTGGCGCGACCTCCTGCTAAACTCTTCCCGCTGGTCTTTCCTTGTATTAAAAGATGAATACAAATTAGGCTTTTTTTTTTCCTTTCTATTTTAGGAAATTTAATGTAGGTGATAATTTTATATATTTAGACACGAGTTGATTTTTTTTTTTTTGGTGGGTTAACCACGAGTTGATGTTTTGAGCAAGGTTTAAAAGACGTTAGGCGTTAGTCGGGCGATAGGCTGGGGCCTAACGTCTAGGCGCTTAGGCGGATTTAAGTAAATCTATTATATTTCGTTTAAATAAATGTCTGCTTATACTTAAAAAAAAAATTATATATATATATATCATTATAAACTACAAAATAAAATGACAGATATATTATGAAATATTGGAACATAATGAAAAAGAAAATATAAGACACACATAATGTGTGTTCATTTAAATATGCAACAAGTCTCTTGCAATTTATTGAAGAAAAAAATGCAAAATGAAAGTTATCTATTTAATGTCTAAGTAAGTCGCAACCTAAGCGGGTGCCTAAGCTGGTTTGGGCGGGCTAGACTAGTGCCTAGGCTGTGGATGCAAATTTCTTCCTCCTTGATCTTGGACAATTTTGCATCTACAAAACAATTAACACTTTAGGTTAAGGCCAAGAGCCTCACGCGCCCACGATGAATGGGGGGGGCTTTGGCCGAAGAACCTCCGATGCCAAAGTTAGAATTTAGAGAGAAATAGTGTTTAGAGAATTTTGGGATTTTTGCCAAAGTGTTCGAATGAGTTTTTGGTGAAAATAGAAACCTATTTATAGGGTTAGGCTTGTCCATTTTTTGAGAAGAAATAGCCGGCCTTAATGGGGATTTTTAGGTTGAAATTTTGGTTTAATTAGCCAATTTATTGGCTAATTAACCCTAAAGGAATAAATTGGTGGTTACCAAATTGATTAATTTGCATAAATGGGATAATAAAGAGGGAAAAATGGAAAAAGGTAAAGAGAAAGGATGGTGACCGGTTTTGACTAGCTTTAGGGTTGAATTGGATGTATTTTGTGGTTAATTGGGTGATAAATTTGGTGATTAATGAATTAATTAGGAATTAATTCATTAATTAGCCAATTAATCTTTATTTTATGGGATAACTTATAGGTTATGAAGTAATTACCTATAATGAGGATGGATGAGATAAATTGGAATTTGTTACCTTTTTTGGAGCATTTTTGACTTGGTTGAGGATGATTGTCCGCCGCTCGCGCGTAGGAATCTCGGTATGCCTCAAGGGTATTTTTGTCCTCTTTTACCCAAAAATCCATGTGTCGCCTTGTGATTATTTTTTGCTCCACAAATGCCCCCACACCTGTTGGGTTGCTCGCAGGAAAGGGCAGCAGGTGTAGAGATTTCCTTGCTTTTAGGAAACTTAGGAATGCTTCCTGTAGATTCTCTCTTTAATAAGAAATTAGATCCTTCTAGGAAAGGGAAATAAATTTCTCTCAAAACCTATTTAAGTCCACCTTAAGTGGGTTGTTAAATCAACTTTGGAGAGCGATTTATTCTACCCTACAAGAGAGAGAGAGCTTAGAGGATATTTGTTCCCCCTCCTCTAGCAATCTTCCATATCCTGCCCGTGCAAAGGACCGTCTTTCGTTGATTTCTTCGTCTTCTCCGTGCCGCACCGTTGTAAGAAAAATTTAATTTTTTCTTGTCTTCTTCTTGGATAGTGCTATTGTGGGGCAGTCGTCGGGGTGGTGCGGCACGTCGGCTGGCAAGGGCCAGGAGTCGGCTCGGCATGGGCCAATGAGGCATCGTGGCAGGGACCACTGCTTTAAGCTGCTTGACTTGGCTAGAACCAAGGGCAGCTTGTGTGACTGGGGCCTCGGATTGTGGCGCTGGGGCGCAGTGCTAGGCAAGTCACATGGCTCATGTCCTTTTAGGCTTTTGGACATGACGAGAGCTAGGCCGATGATTGAGAGAAATGAAGAGGTTGCGGACCTCATGAGCTGCTAGAATGTTGGGTTGAACTTCCCTGCTAGGTACCATGAATGACATTGGCTACTTTAACTCTTTTCGTCAGGAGAAACGTGGGCTGCTCCCAAAAGAGGAGGTGAATAGGATCAAAGTGGATGCACTGGCTCGTCCAATCACCGTTGTGGATCCCGCTGCAATTGAAGGTGGGAAAATGGATCTTCTCTGCTTGCTCAAGAGATGCCGGCTGAGAAAAAACCAAAGACTTGTTTCGTTGCTCGAGCTGGTTCTCCGACTACCTCCAGGCTTGTGATTGACTTGACTTTTTCCAAGGGGACGAAAATGAAGCTGCTAGATCTGAGCATGTGGCGCCTGCCATGTCAAGAATGGCTAGTACGATTGCTGATAGGATTGTTTGGCATAAAGGTCTTGTCATGCCTTTAGTGCCGAATTTTGTACCAAGACGTCTGTTGGGAGCTAAGTCCAGTTCACCTTTGGAGAGGCTTGCTATTATGAAAAGCGATAAGGTGGACTCTACTGCTAAAGTGGCTCCAAGGCCCATTCCTTAGCTGTTGAGACTGATTCGCCTGTTGGGAATGAGGAGACTGCTCGCGTAGGCAGCTGTGAGAAATCCACTAAACCTGCTTCTGGGGAGGCTGCTGAGATCTATGTGCTTTTAAAACCAGATCTCTTGAAAACATGGATGCTTGTGCCAAGTTTGTTGATGGCGTCAGAAAGGTTGTTTGCCCAAGTTGGTTTGCGAAGCATACAACCCAATATAGAAGGACCGCTCTGCTTGCTATGATGCAAATATAGCAAGGCTGCTAAGGAGGTGGCAAATACTATGGCAAATTCTGAGCTCATTGCTTTGAAGGGGTCTAATATTTCTGCCCCCACTTCTCTCAGATTTAAGATATTAAGTTTGCAGTTTCTGAGCTTCGTTTCACTGCTTATGCTAAGAAGGGAGTGGATGAGCTGCAGCGCGTCCGTGTTAGTCTGTTTAAGAAGAATGAGCAGCTGAAGGGTGAGAATGATGGGCTTGAGGTTTAAGACATTCTCTATTTCTTCGGAAGACTTGCTTGCTTTTACTTTTAAGGCTTCCATTGGTGAAGTAGTTGGAGAAGTTAAAGCCCAGGCTGGGGCAGCCGGGGGTGAAGCGCCGGATGATGCCGCTGCTAAGAGCGTTACGGCTACTGAAGGTGTGGCGACCGAGTAGTCGTGGGATGTCCAAGTTGATGTAATGTAGTATTCTAGGTAGCCTTTAGGATTTTCTTTGTTTTTCCTTGTAGCTCTTGTTTTGCTTGAACTCCTTCGGCCTTTGCTAGTTATTTATAAACATGTTTTCCTTCATTTTTCTTCATCTTCGCTTCTTTTGTTCATGCCCTAACCTTTAGACTTGATAAACCAGTGGCAGGCATGCTACTTTTTTATAAGCAGACAAGCTCGCGTAGCCTATGCAGCCGTAAGTGTTGGTGTAGAACTTTGCAAAGTAATTAGCCATAGGGTTGGCAGCCGGATGCCTTACTTATAGAAGCAGACAAGTCCGCGTAACCACTAGGTTGTTAACCTTGACTTTCTTCAATTCCGTAGGTTACGTAGCAAGTATCACAACACTTTAGGACTTGGTGTAGGTTGTTCCGCGCTTGGCAGAGGTGAAGCTTATCGACTACGTAGCATGTCGGCAGTGGATAAAACTTCGTATATGCGCGCTAGCTTGTTTAACCTTTCACAAGAATGTGCAGTTGTATAAGTCTAGCGCTGCTTTACTGCTCGAAGGGCAAGCCGTAGGCAGTCTTCCGGAATCCGTAGGCTACCTTAGTGCACTCGGTAGTAGCTTTAGGGTTCCAAGGCAGCCGTCTATAGGGCGTACTGCGTAATGTGCCCCCTCCGTCTCTAGGGCCCGGTTCCCAGCGGATTAGGCTAAGAGACCAAAAATCCTTCAGTTAGCTAAGCCTTGAAAAAGACCATTGTGGTTACTTCTAGGAATCTCGGCGTAAGCCATCGTGCATCTAGTTACATTAGGGCAGCCAGACTCATCCACGTCTGGATATTCGGAGTGTAAAGTTTATCCTCCCGTCTTGGAGAGCTAACCCATATGGGTGTCGGGGAATTGGTTTACCCTCTCGCACTGGAGAGCATGGTTGGTCCCTCGAGGGGCGCAATTCATGCGATGAGTCCCTAAGAAGGGCGCAATCTTCTTTTGAAGTGCATGAGTGATTAGTTGTTGTAAGCATGCAGCCGAGCCAAGTTGTGATTACTTCTAAATTCCTCATTAAAAAACGAGTGAAACGAACGAGAACTTAGCTGTAAGGTAGGAATTGCATAACAACTGGATAGTCCTCAGCTTGTGAGGTGATGCCCGTTGAGCTTCTTGAGTCTTCGGGCTTTGATGTAGTGAGAGGTCACACATGGTACTTCTTCAGATTGTAGGCACTCCACTACTTTTCGATCTTTTTATCGTTTCATGGTGGCGAGTGTGTAATTACTCTTGCCGCCTATTCTGCTGAGCTTGTACGGACCTTCCCAGATGAGATCCATCTTTTTGGAGCCTTCTTTGTGGACAATGATGAAGGCTTTTCTTAGGACTAGATCTTTGGGCTGGAACTGCCGGATCTTGGCCCTTTTGTTGTAGCTTGAAAGGAACTACTGCTGGTAAGCTGCGATGCGGGTGATAGTCTGCTCGCACTTCTCCTCTGCCAGATTTAAGCTTGTGGCCATCTCCTTTCGGTTACTCGTCTTTTGGTGGTGCGATATGCCTATAGACATCCGGG